TCTGCCTGTCGCCTCCGTGGAGGGGGCGAGTCTTAGGTGGCTTACACAATAAGATGACAACATATGGGGGTAAAAAAAAAAAAACCAATTGAAAACAAACAAGAGCAAAGACAGTGAATGAGTACACATGTGGGGGGGGGAGAGAATAACATTAAGCGTCCCCCCAAGGGAACAGATCTTGCCATCCAGGACTTGATGAAACAATTAGGTTTTTATAGCTTTTGGGGATGGACATCCCAAAGGTCGAGGTGATATCGCCCTTAAGGAATGAATAAATAGTCCAGTTTTGAAAGAAGGCAGAAGCTGGGGGTGGGTGGGGGATGGGGAACGGGGGAACGGGGGACGGGGGGAGGAAATGGTCAGAATGGAAGTCTTGATCGTGCCCGCCAGAGATGTTGAGGTTTCGTTTCGAAGCAGTTGAAATGAAATAAATGATAGTTCCTGAAACAAATTTGAGCAGGCATCCTCAAATCCAGCAACAGAAGGGCAGGGATTTGATTCCTGGAGGACACTTCCAAATGTTCTTGTAAAGAATTCCTTACTTCCTTCTCCTTTCTTCCCTTCTCTCATCTCTCCTTCCTTCCTTCCTTCCTTTCTCCCTTCCTCCTTCTTCTTTCACCTCTCCTTCTTTCCTTCCTTCCTCCTTTCCATTCTTCCTTCCTCCTTCTCTCATCTCTCTCTCTCCTTCCTCCCTTCTCTCATCTCTCCTCCCTCCCTTCTCCCACCTCTCTTTCCTTTCTTCCCATCCTTCCTTCCTCCTTCTCTCATCTCTCTCTCTCCTTCCTCCCTCCCTCCCTTCTCCCACCTCTCCTCCCTCCCTTCTCTCACCTCTACTTCCTTCCTTCCTTCTTCCTTCCTTCCCCTTTCCATCCTTCCCTCCTCCTTCCCTCATCTCTCTCTCCTTCCTTCCTCCCTCCCTTCTCTCACCTCTCCTCCCTCCTTTCTTTCACCTCTCCTTCCTTCCTTCCTTCCTTCCTTCCTTCCCCTTTCCATTCTTCCTTCCTCCTTCTCTCATCTCTCTCTCTCTCCTTCCTCCCTTCTCTCATCTCTCCTCCCTCCCTTCTCCCACCTCTCCTTCCTTCCTTCTTTCCTTCCTTCCTTCTTTCCTTCCTACCTTCCTTCCCATCCTTCCTTCCTCCTTCTCTCATCTCTCTCTCTCTCCTCCCTTCCTCCCTCCCTTCTCTCACCTCTCCTCCCTCCCTTCTCTCACCTCTCCTTCCTTCCTTCTTCCTTCCTTCCCCTTTCCCTTCTTCCCTCCTTCCCTCATCTCTCTCTCCTTCCTCCCTCCCTCCTTCCCTTTCTCATCTCTCCTCCCTCCCTTCTCTCACCTCTCCTCCCTCCTTCCACCACTCCTTCCTTCCTTCCTTCTTTCCATCCTTCCCTCCTCCTTCTCTCATCTCTCTCTCTCCTCCCTCCCTCCCTCCCTCCCTCCCTATATCTTTTGGTAAAGGACATTCTTAATAATTGAAATAAAAACACGAAGAAAAGGCAGCTGGAGCAGCTCTGTTGCAAAAGCTTTGCTGACGTCCAAGAGATGTTGGAATTCATCTTTATTGGGTTCCAGGTCTGGGAGAGAGAGAGAGAAAAAAGTCTAATTAAGCAGTAAGAGGTGGAACCTACGCAGGACCCTGGAAGTATCACAATTTCCCTCTGCTTTCTCTCCTTCCCGCTTAGTTCGGCATCTCATTCAGGCTTGTTTTCCCCTCCTTCCCCTCCTCCCTTTCCCCACACAGGCTGCATGTGGGATAAATAGAGGCTTCCAATTACTTAAGACTTTGTCCTCACTAAACTTAGGGTTTCGCAAGTATCAGGGTAGAACAAAATAAGGGATGACACTGGAGCCTGGAGTTTCTTACCTGGCATCAAGCCACCAAAATCAGTCTCCCTCGGCCAACTCTTAATTCGCTTCGTTGTTATTTTCTAACCCTGCGCTGTTTATTTTTGTTTACTTCTCTTGCTTTCATACGAGTTTGTGTGTTAAGATACAGATGCACGACTATAAGCCACTGGATAAGAAGTCTCTTGGGAATCCTGGGGTCACCTATACAGAACACCGACAATGGGGATTTGTCGAGCGCAGGAATGGCCTGTTCCCTTGTGAAGGAAGGTAGCAAATCTGTAGCACGTGGAAAAACCCCAGTTTCGTTTACGGAGACTATTTATTTCCCGTTTGTGCGGGGAACAACTGTAAATGGGGGGGGGAAACACCAGTTCCAAAATAGATGGGGCAAGCGGTTTGGATTCAAGACAAATTCTTGGGTTGCTAAGGATACACGTGATTCCATAAGGGTGCTGTTAATGGAGAATATTTGTAGCTCAGGGTTGAAATGAGGAGTCCTTGGTGCTCCCTGTGCGTGGTGGTTTTCCTTTGAGGCGTTTCATGACCCAACTAGGTAACATCATCAGTGCTGAGAGAGCAAACTCCACTCCTTTCTAGCACTGATGATGTTACCTCGTTGGGGTATGAAACTTCTTCAAGAAAACAAGCAACTTCAGAGAACATCAACTACCCCACAGTCCTTCTCCTTCTTCTCCTCTTCCTCTTCCTCATCTTCTTCCTCCTCTTCTGTACAGACCCCACTTCCTTCTAGCACTGATGATGTTACCTAGTTATGAAACATCTTCAAGAAAACAAGCAAGCTCAGAGAACATCAAGGACCCCACAGTCCTTCTCCTCTTCCTCCTCTTCCTTCTCCATACAGACCCCACTTCCTTCTAGCACTGATGATGTTACCTAGTTTGAATAATGAAACATCTCCAAGAAAACAACCAAGCTCAGAGAGCACCAAGGACCCCTCGTAAATGGTGCTCCTTGTGCTAAATTGTAATTAAGTAATTAGCTATATTAATAAGAGGAGATTCTCCATGACTGGTAGATCTCATCTACAGAAGATTCCATGACATTTCAAGGTTGAGACCCCCAAAACAGGTCATCGAAGGGTTTTAAATGTGGTCCACGCGGATCATCAGACCCGTTCCTCTCGCACAGAAGGTTTCAAGTACTATCTTTGATCGCCCAACAGAAGGTTCTATTTCCCAAGTCAGAGTAGATCACCTTGGGCGATTCCCCCACGTGGGTTGAAATTGGTAGAACGTCCCTGTAGATGGATCCGGATGGATGCGTGGCCAAAACAAAGCAGAGCGTGCGGCCACCGATCAGCGATGAAGTATGTCAGAAGGGGGGCCAAGCGGTGGTCACATTTGATGCGACAATACTCTCGAAGCTGCTGACAGGCTTGTGAAAACGTGTGGTTCACAATTGGCCTGCGCTACATATGTTAGCAATTCACTGTTCCTCTCTGTCTCCTTGCCCTCTGCCAACCCAGCGCTTTGACGAGAAGAAAGGGGTGGCGGGGAAACAGCGTGATGAAAACCAGACTGGGATTGGGAGTTGAGGGCTTTCCGCCAGAGGAGTTAATCTGTGCAAATGTTTCTAATTTGCATAATTTAGTTCCAGGGCAAGAAGCTTGGCTTTCCCCAGAAACACCGTTGACGTTGGTTTGTCGAGTCGCACCGTGTTGCCACCCTTGGGCGTTCGAGGGGGAGAGATGTCAGCCATCCCAACTCGGTCAATAAAAAAGAATGACTCCCAGACTCATAGCCAGTGAAAGTATATTTTACTAAAGCCAAGTATTTTTTTTCTGTGTCACATGAGAAAAGTACACCTTCCTACCCCCTGTCCTCACCACTTTCTATAGAGGGATGATCGAGAGCATCTTGTCATATGGCATTACTACCTGGTTTGGAAGGAAGGTGGCACAGAGAGTGGTGAGGACAGCAGAAAAGATTATTGGAAGTTCACTTCCTTCTATCCAGGACATGTCATATAAGCGATGCTTGAGAGAATCCACAAGATTGTCTGTTCACAACCTGTTTTCCTTGTTACCTTCTGGGAGGGGGCTCCGTGGTACCTGAAGCAGAACATCCAGATTCAGTCACAGTTTTGTTCCATGTAGAACCAACCTTGTGAACGCTCAAGTTTCCACTTTCTGCTACGTAATTCAAGATGGACAGTGATTAATACGCAGGGGTGGGATTCTGCCAGTTCGGACCGGTTCGGGCGTATTGGTATCTCCGACAATCAGCTGAGAGCGAATTGGTTCACTCCAACGATTAGCTGGGCTCGTCTGCCCACCCCTGCGCTATACCTACCTTTATTTCCTTTGTTTGAAGCCCAGCTGATCGGCGCAGCACCGCGGATTGCCACGCCTCAGCTGTTTTATTCACTGGAGCTGCAGTAGAAGGTGCTGTTTTCAAATGTACTGCATGCACACAGATTGCCTGTTTGGCGCCCGTGCAAAGCGTCCGCGAAGCGAACCGGTTGAATCCCACCACTGTTAATATGTATATATGTATATACATGAATACATGTATTCATGTATATAGCATGTGTATATGACTGTTATGTATGTTTATGGATAGATGTATACTTTTGTTTGAGAGCGGGCAACATTTTTGGTGTGTGCCAGTGTGATCACAGTAAAAAATGACAACAAAGGTTATCTTATCTTATCTTATCCTATCCTATCCTATCCTATCCTATCCTATCCTATCCTATCCTATCCTATCCTATCCTATCCTATCCTATCCTATCCTATCCTATCTAAGTGGTTTCAGTGTAGCAAAGCCAAATCTGGAGTTTCGTGCCGTAAACAAGCAGTTAACCTTCCCCTTTGGTTTACAACTCCCCCCCCATAGTTATCGGTGAGTGTCCATTAGTATTCAAACTACTAATTATTTTGGTAACGGTCTTCAGTTGCGTGGGCTTGGACGTGTTGCATTTTATTGGATGACCTTGGAGCAGTTCGCGACAGTCATGGGACGATACGAAGACTTTTGGTTTCTTTTCCTCTAGTCCCCCATTCAACCCACCCCGCAACTCCTTCCTCCCTGTTTCTCACGACAGCCTGGTATCTAGCTAAGCAGGGACGGTGCAGGGAGCATGGCGAGAGGTCGTGTTTGCTTCTGCCACTAACTCGATGCAATTCTCTTTCCTACAGATGAGCCAAGTCGTTGCTACTTCCACGATGGGGATGGCGTGTGTGAAGAGTTTGAGCAGGCAACCAGCATCACGGATTGTGGCATCTACACGCCCAAAGGATTCCTGGACCAGTGGGCATCCAATGTGTCGGTTTCACACTACAATGAGAAATGCCCAGCTACTGTGGTAGCAGGTCAGCCGGCAGCAAATCAAGTAAGGAGATTTGGGCACGCAGTGTATTTTCTGGGGTGAACAAGCCATGGTATTAGACAGCCCTGCATATCACCTCGTGGCTCTGGGAGCCTCCACATGCGATGACTGATGACATTTGAAGGATTTCCTGCTACTTTCAGGCAAAAGACAGACGAGTGCATTAATTAAGCTGGATTTGCATAGTTAGTTAGAAAACTTCTTTTTCTTTTTCCTTTGTGGTCCTAGTGGACAACCCGGAAAAAAAATAATCTTGTGTGGTTGTGCGTAGGGGTATTTATGAGCTTCTTGCAGAACTCTCGTTGACGGCAATCCGAAGCAGGAAATCTGCGCGAGGAAGTCAATTGACATCTATTTTCTTGAGCTCTCTGATTTCACAACTATTTCTCTGGTCTCTTTGGGTAGCTTCTCCTTGGAAGGATCCCCCGGTGGTGTTGTTTTCTGCACATAGCCCCCCACATTTCCCTTCATCTTTAGTTGTGCTTGGCTGTCCTGTGCCTCAAGGAACATAGCCAAGGCAGGTTTCGCACGAAAAACCGCCAGAAAACATTTCTAGGTAGTTTTCTTGAAACGCTCCAACATTCTACTACTAGGTTTTCGAAGAAAACTCCTCCTTTCTCCGCCTCCTGATCAAAAGTCATTTTCGGAGAAGAAAAGCAGCGAACACCGAGAAGGGCAGGACACCCTGCTCCCCTAATTCTGTGCTGGAGAGGAACATACACATAACACAGAGAGAGAGAGAGAGAGAGCGGGGAGGGAGGGAGAGAGAGAGAGGGAGAGAGAGAGGGAGAGAGAGAGAGAGACGCACAACACATGCAAGTAAGGAAACAGAAGGCGGTCGCTTCCAAACCAGAGTTTCCAACAAAGTTTGCTTTGACCTTTGTTGCATGAGACGGGAGGTTGAAATTAAGCAAAACAAACAAACACACAAAAAAAAAACATGAGGCCTTGCAACATTGCTGGGAGCTGACTTGGCACCAGAGACGCCTTTTTTTTTTTTGCAAAAAAACAAGCTCCAGTTGGAAAGGGGAGGCCGTGTAAAAGATTTCTGGGACCTCGAGCAAATTGGGACTTTTTAAGAACAGGAGGCCGAGGGAAGGAAAGAATGGCTGGCTTGTTTCTCCGCCCCCCCACCCCGCCTGCCCTCTTAACTGGTTAGGAGACCCTTGAGCTATTTCTTTTTGAGGTTATGCGGTTTTGGAGTATTTGGCTAGAGATAGCTTTTTTAACAAAAAAAAAAATAAAAAATAAAAAGAAGGAAAAGAAGAAAGGAAATGGGTCTTACGGTTTTCATTAAATGCCTTCTTTCCACACACACATACCCCCAGGGGTGCTATCGAGGTAGGAGTTTGGGGAAATTACTCAGGGTTTTCTTCATCAGAACAAGCACAGAAGGAGTCACACCGTGCGTAAGGCAAGGACTGGCTTAACGTAGTTAAGTAAAATAACCCATTTTACCATCGGATTGAATTGTCTCCTACTTTGCTTGTCCGGACTGTAGGAAGAGTGCAGAGAAGAGCCACAAAGATGATTAGGGGATTGGAGGATAAAACATATGAAGAACGGCTGCAGGAACTGGGCATGGCTAGTTTAATGAAAAGAAGGACTAGGGGAGACATGATAGCAGTCTTCTAATATCTCAGGGGCTGCCACAAAGAAGAGGCAGTCAAGCTGTTCTCCAAAGCCCCTGAAGGCAGGACAAGAAGCAACGGGTGGAAACCAATGAAGGAGAGAAGCAACTTAGAACTAAGGAGAAACTTCCCGACAGTGAGAACAATTAACCAGTGGAACAACTTGCCTCCAGAAGTTGTGAATGCTCCAACACTGGAAGTTCTTAAGAGGTTGGATAACCATTTGTCTGAAGTGATGTAGGGTTTCCTGCCTAAGCAGGGGGTTGGACTAGAAGACCTCCAAGGTCCCTTCCAACTCTTCTATTCTATTCTATTCTATTCTATTCTATTCTATTCTATTCTATTCTATTCTATTCTATTCTATTCTATTCTAATAATGACTACCCACACCTCATGGACCTATTCATTCTCATTTGGGTGGGATCAATCAATCAGAATAGAGCTCAAGCAGGAGACTCTATATCATTTCAGACAGGTAGCTGTCCAGTCTCTTCTTAAAAACTTCCAGTAATGAAGCACCCACATCTTTTGGAGAGAAGACATTATACTGGTTAATTGTCCTCACTGTTAGGAAGTTTCTCCTTAGTTCCAGGTTGCTTCTCTCCTTGATTAGTTTCCCTCCATCGCTTCTTGAACTGCCATCAGGTGCTTTGGAAAATAAGTTGACCCCCTTCTTCTTTCTGGCAGGCCCTTAGAAATTGGAAGACTGCTATCATGTCACTCGTGGTCCTTCTTTTTCATCAGACTACATCGGGGGTCTGCAACCTAAAACACTCTAAGAGCCATTTGGACCCATTTCCCACAGAAAAGAAAACACCGGGAGCCACAAAACCTAGGTAGGCGTGGCCAACTTGATGTCACTCATTTCCACCAGTCACATGACCCCCCCTAGTTACGCCTACCCAGCCGGTCATTAAGGCAGAGAACCAGTCATTAGAAAACACCGGGAACCACAAAACCCTTTTAACATCTCTCTCTCTCTCTCTCTCTCTCTCTCTCTCTCTCTCTCTCTCTCTCTCTCTCTATCTATCTATCTATCTATCTATCTATCTCTATCTCGCTATGTCTCTCTCTCTCCCCCTCTCGCTGTATCTCTCTGTCTTTGCCATGGCCAATTCTCCACCCCCACCATCGCCCTTACCTTCTCAGCCCAGGTGAGGAGTGACTGGGAGGGGAGGGGCAGGGCCAGTCAGTGGTGGGATCACCTGACAAGGAGCCACAGCAGAGGGCCCAAAGAGCCACATGCGGCTCCGGAGCCGCAGGTTGCTGACACCCGGACTAGACATACCCAATTCCTGCAACCGTTCTTCATATGTTTTAGCCTCCAGCCCCCTAATCATCCTTGTTGCTCTTCTCTGCACTCTTCCTAGACTCTCGACGTCTTTTTGACGGCGACCAAAATTGGACGCAATGTTTCACCAAATGGATAGGATGCCAGCTCTATTGAGAAAGACAGGGGAAAGAAAAGTTTGTTTATTTATTTTTTTTGACTAAAAATGGTCCTTCACCTTGGTATAATGTAGGCAGAGGGGGACGGGCGGACGGGACAGGAACTACCCAGCCGCAGAAATGTTTAATTCTAAACTTAGCTGTTTCCAACATGGTGATTGAATGAGGAAAAAGCATCCCAGCTTAAAACAACACCGCTCCTTTAATTCCAAAACTGGATTTTTCCATCTCTTAATACCCTAATTCTCTTTTTTACTCAGAAATTTGTTGCAGGGTAGAGACACGGGTGTTTGGTGCCAGAGTAAGTCTGCAAGTGTTTAGTTGTGTTTTTCCCCCCCTCTTCTTCTCTTTCTCTCTCTCTCTCTCTCTCTGTCTGTCTCACAAACACAGACAGTTAGTAAACTGTGAGTCAGTACAGATGGGCAACCTGTTTCTACTTTTTAGAGATTTGCAATGAGATGCTTTTCAGGCAGAAAATGCAAATTAATTTGCCATCGGTCCCGGTTTTGCATTCCGAAAACTGTTAAAAAAAAAAACAACCCATGAATCGGAATCCAAATGCATAATGTGGGAATTATTTACCGTAATAAGTTCAACCAACGAACCTACTCATTTTTTCGTTTGGGTGGCATCCCTAATTAAAAACGGTTTGCGGTTGTCTGCGCGGGGAAGTCATCTGAGTTCTTCTTTATTTCTTTAACACGAGAAAGCCTTTGTTCTTTTCGACTCAAAAGAGATTTGAAAAGAACAATAATAATAATAATAATAATAATAATAATAAGTTTACAACAAGGACTAGTGATGCTAAACCACCATATTTTGACTGAGTCTTTGGTATGAGGACTTGAACATGTGTTTGTTGTCCAAGAGAGCAGCTGAGTTGGTAGTCAGATTGTGTGAGCAAAGCTGTTATCTCTGTTTGGCCTGGTAACTTTAGATACCAATAAAAGAGAATATGTGTAGCTCAGGGCTGAAACGAGGGATCCTTGGTGTTCTCTGAGCTTGGTGGTTTTCTTGCAGATGTTTCATGACCCAACTAGGGAACCTCATCAGTGCTACTTGATGTTACTTAGTTTGGGTAATGAATGGAAGAAAACAACCAAGCTCAGAGAGCACCAAGGACCCCTCAATTTTAGATGATGATGGCGATGAGAAGGAGAAGGAGAAGGAGAAGGAGAAGGAGAAGGAGAAGGAGAAGGAGAAGGGGAAGGGGAATTACCCAACTAGGGAACCTCATCGGTGCTAGAAGATGTTACTTACAATAGTTGGGTTATGAAACATCTGCAAGAAAACCACCAAGCTCAGAGAGCACCAAGGATCCCTCAACTTTAAATTATAATGCCGATGAGGAAAAGGAGAAGGAGAACTGTGGGGTCCTTAGTGCTCTCTGAGCTTCATTGTTTTCTTGCCGACATTTCATTACCCAACTAGGGAATCTCATCAGAGGTTACTAGAAGATGTTACTTGGCAGGTTACTGTGAAATATTCTCAAGCTGCCCTTTTCAAGGAGGGCACCTGGACTGTCCCAAAACGTTGCAGCGGTCCAGCCAGAAAAAATGGGGCAAAACTCATTTAAGAAATTGTTCATTTCACAACATAAAATTCTGGGCTCGGTTGCAGTTGTAAGTCGAGGACTACCTGTATAATGCTAAATACAGATCAGAAAGGGGGAATTACTCAGGGATTGGATTTAGGAACTGTCCATGGTAAAACGCTGGCAGATTTCCTGGCTGGCTTCTCTCGAGAAAGCTCTTATCTTCTGAGTAGGTTTAGAAAAGACACCCCAAACTCTTCCAGACATTTGGCGAACTGAAGAAGAAAATGGCTTTTAAAACTGAAAGGTTCCTGTAGATCTTTCTCGGTGTCTGCAGGACACCAAGCAAAGCAGTGGAGCTAATGAGGAAAGGATGAAGCTGGCTTAAA